TTTATGCACTCTTCTTCCCACCTACCCATCCACAATTTGCTGGTCCTCAAGATGAGAAGCCACCCTGCGTAATCCGTTTCCACCCTGGCCCAACATCCAGAACCTCACCAGCGTTTTCATGGGACCGTGTTCTATATACCTCGCGGGGTTGGGCTTGGTAAGGAACTAAACCGATTTGCATGCTTTCTCATCTCAATGAACTCAGGCTAGATGTGATGTACAGTGGATCTAGCGGCTATGGACGGCAATACATGTATTTTCCTTTAGACACTTGTCATCTTCGCAGCTAATGTCGGGTCTAGGGAGCGACTCGACGGCCAAGGTGGAGAGCTCGATGTCCAAGATTGTGTCCAAGCCACTCGTCAAACTGCAGCCAAGGGCCTGATCGACGGCAATCGAGTTGTGTTGACGGGTGCTGGTATGTATTTCTCAACGTGCTTTTCTCACTTCTCAGCCGTTGAATGAATTTCTTATCAGGTGGACCGTCCGTATTGATGTCTGTCATCAACTTCCCCGACTTCTACGCGGCCGCCTGCTCCCAATTCTCTGTCTGTGACATCGCAGAGCTTTATCGCAAATCGCCAAAGTTACAGCTTTTCTACTCTTCTCTACTTTTAGGGGGAACTCCCGAAGAAGTGCCCCAGGTTTACAAAGCACGCTCCCCGCTATTTCACGCAGGAAAAATTAAATCCCCGATTCTAGTAAGAAAATCAATGCCTTCGTCGCAATGCAGTAGATAACATACTCATGGTAGCTTGCACACGGAGCACAAGACCCGGTCATACCGGTTTGGCAAACCGACGCCATTGCCCGCGAGATTGAAGAAGGTGGGGGACAGGTGGAATATCTCCGCTTTGAGGACGAAGGGCACGGTGTGCGGCGCGCTGAGAATCTTCGTTTACTGCAAGAGCGCCAACTCGCGTTCTTCGAGAACACTTTTGGATTTCGGAGTCCGAGCAAAGAATTATGATTGGACATTGCCCCCCCACATACTACCCTCGAACTGCCTCATCCCCTCCACCGGACGCAACCACCCAACCCTACTCTCCACAAACTGCTCCACCCTCGGCCTCAACTTCCCCTCATGCAACCTATAATCATCCACGACCCCCATCCTCACGGCATTCAACCCCTTGTGCCCCGAGCTCGCGCGGTACATCAACGACCCGCACGTCTTGCAGAAATAATTCGTCACGGTGTTCCCCGTGGCGATGGTGCGCGATTGGGCGTACGCCGTGACGTTGTCGTCGCCGCGAGTGTATGTGAGGTAAGGGTCCATTATGGTGAAGTTGGTGGTGAACATGGAGACGCTGACTTTGCGGCAGTCGACGCAGTGGCAGATGAAGGTCTCGTCGACAGTCTGAAGTGGCTGAAACAAAAATTTCATGTGAGCTTGGATCGGATTGGGTCGAGAAAACATATAATATGAATGAGGGCGACGCACGAATTTGAGCTGAACGGCGCCGCAGAAGCAGGTAGCGGTTGCTTCGGTCTCTGTGGACCAGCCGTCATTACCGCCTCCCGCGAGAGGCAGCCAAGGTTGCGATTTGTCGGCGGGAGGTCCTTCGGTAGGTGCCATTGAACGAGAAGTGTTTTTTGCGATACGAATGCTGGGCTTTCAACTATACGCGAGCTCACTTATATCCTGGCGCTGGGAAGGATGACGGAAGCGCAATTCTCTTAAATTTCTCTGAGTTCGCCGGCGCAGCGCTTACCGATCTGCGTGACTGCATCTCACAAAGACCATCCGGCGAGATTTGTAAGGCCGGTGAGGGCTTTTGCACGATCAATAGTCGGTTACACGGATAAAAAATTAGCTGATTGAGTTTTTTTCGAATAGACGTTCGTTATGCCAGTGTTCGATTCACCGCTGACTGGAAAGATAACGGGAATCCACGGGACCTGCTGAAAGTGAAATATTCTCTGACACTCCTCCCCAGATTCTTGGGCAGCTGCCAGTGGACGCGGAGATGCATCACAACGATGAGTCTCGACACGTCGAGCGCGAGGTCTCGCACGAATGCCATTCGGTGCATGCGATACGCTGCATTTCACCGCGAGTCCAACGCTTTCCCCGAGACCCCAACCACAAATTCGAAACATCAATCACGTCCCAATTTGGTCATTGAATGACCATATCCGGACGTGCTTCTCCTCTCCCTGTTTTCACCATCCACCTCCCAGCCCTCATCGCCCTCCCATCCCTCATCGCCCTTACCACCCACAAACGCATCAACACACAAGCGTAAAACACATCGCTCACCCGAATCCAGCCCAGCAAAGAATTAATACAAATAAGTAGCCCTGCGTACGCACAACGCATGTCTGTGTCGATATCCAGTCCTATGTATCATACTGTACCCTCCACCGCACATAGCCCAGCCCCAACATGCATACATCCTTTAACGCTAGGTATGAGAAACTTGAGTCACGCGTGGAAGTAGAGTAGAGTCACCTACCAGCTCAACTTTCTACGTGCATATCCGACCATGCCAACTCAAACACGTTACATGACCACCCTTGCCGGTCTACACGCAGTCAGCATCATACGCTGAAAATGAAAAAGGCAAGGAGATGAGACGCACCGAAGTTATCGTTGATATCATGATCGTACTCGCACTGACCCCTCGAATGTGCGGGGTGCTGGAAGGGCTCGTGGCGGTAGCCGAGGTCTGCAAAGAGGAAGTGCTGCTGCTGCGGCGTCGTTCGATAAACCGCTGGCTGCAAATATATATTATGATCCACCGACTCGACTCGCCTCGCTGGGAAAAAGGAAAAGAAAATTCATTGCCCAAGTCAAGACAGACACAGATACTTATAGACGAGGCAGGTACGGCCCGTACTTTCGCACGTCGCGCCGCCTCCCTCCCCATCCGCGCGCGCGGGGTTGTATGTGCTGGCTGACTCCGCTGCTTCACGACCGAGTCGCCTTACGGGCGGGTGCCGAGCCAAACGCGGCGGCAGGGCGAAGTCGAAGTCGACCGCGAAACGCGGGAGCGGTGTCGTTGCGCTGTCAGTGAATAGATAGATAGCCGGCGGAGAGTTGGGGCGTTGACGCGGCAGCGAATGTGAATGCGAATTTGGGTTTGAAGTCATTTGAAAGTCTTTGAGTTATTTGCGGCACGACTGCGCCGGGTTAGGGAAGGCAAAGGAAAGAGAAAGCGCGCTAGAGCACTTTGAGAGCTCGGCGTTCGGAGGATTGAGACGCACGGGCGTCGATGTGATAATGATTTTGAGGGTGAATTGAAGTTGACGGGCGACGTAGAATGGGTGGTGGAGGTAGACTGGAGGAGGATTGAGGCAGGGCGGATGGCCGATTGAGACGAGGTGCTGTGGAGGAAAGCGGGAGAGAGTGGGGTCGGGTCGTGGGCGAGGGCTGTTAAGTGTATGCGATGAAGACGCTCTTCCGCGCGCACGGCCAGTTGACGCGTTGACGTGGCGGCGATTGTGAATTTGATTTGTATTTGTATGGATTTGAGGTACGACGGCGGCGCCCTAGGGAAGGGAAAGAGGACTTGAGGACGGCGGAGCGGGCTCGGTGTTCTTGTGATTGAGACGCAAGCGTGCCGATGCGATGATGATTTTGAGGGAGAGATCGACAGGCGAAAGACGTAGAATGGGTGGGTGGTCGGATGTGGAAGAAAGGTGGGCTGTCGAGCGACGAGATTGGAGGGAGGGCGGATGATTGAGAGGAGGGTGGCGTGGAGGGCTATTGCAATGAGTGGCGGTAGAGCGGTGGGTGCTGGGAGAGTCGATGTCGATGTCGGGGCTGTTGAGTCAAGGCGACCGAGGCACCTTTGAATTCGTTTGTCCGCATTTCAGGGGCTTTGACGTGGCGGAGTGTGGGAGCGAGGTGCGGCGGAGACACGGGCGTGCGGGTGCGAAACGAGGAACTATGGAGGAGGTGTTGCGGGTGGCGATGTCGAATCGCAGCGCTGGTGGTGGGGTTTGCGTCGGGCGGTGGAGAAGAGGTGTGGGGAGTGCGATGGTGGGTAGGCGTCGGCGGCGGCCGTAACGCAAGAAGGCGGGGAGAGGGATGGAGGGGAGTACAGGCGTCGGCTGCATGCACGAAGTGATCAGGCTGGAAGAGAAGGTAGGGAAAGGTAGCCTGAGTGCGACGCACCTCTACATTTATCTGTCTGTGTATCTCCCGTCCGATTGGCTGCCGAGGGCGCCGGAGCGAGCCGTACCGACTCGTACCATGGCGTCGGAACGAGTGAGGACGAGGTCGTGATTGACGGCGGCCACGGCGTCGTACTTGTGTTGTTCAATTTGCTTGGTTTCGAGTGACTTCGGGAGAGGAGTCCGAGTCCGTGGGAAGAGTCGGCGTTGACGGTGGGGACCAGTCGTAGAGTGAGCGAGTTGAGGGAGGCGAAAGAGGGCGTCGGTCAAGCGTCGGTACTCGGTAGTTGCTTGCACGTTGTTGTGGTCACTTTGGTCGACAAGCGTGGTCCCGTGACCCACAACAACTCTTCTTCGCCGCCTTCGTGATCATCCCTCGCGGCCGTTGACGCGCACGCTTGCGCGTAGAATGACGAGTCGTGAGGCGGGGTCTGCTTGGCAGTACTCTCCGACTTATTACACCCTTTTCATTGCTACCACCACGATCCATACTTATTCCATCTTTCCCGCAGTCTGGACTCTGCATTTGTTCCTCACCTCACAGAAAATCTTCAAAGTGTGCTTTCCCACCAATCCATGGCTTGCAGTTGCTATGCAAAGGTAATAATCTATTGGGCTACTTCTAAGTTCTCACATGCTCTCTGATATTCAAAAAAAAAAAGTTAATATTAGAGGGTTTCCTCGGAAACATTGCGCACCATGAGTATGTTACAGTGGAGAGTTGGTGGAGAGCTTGAGCAGCAATTTTCCCTGTCAAACAAACTTGAACAGGGAGGGACAAAGTAAACTGGAGAAAGGCTCGTATTTTAACTTTTGTTCGCTTCGTGGAAACCGCTTGGTTTACAGTCATATTACCCATTTATTGCAGTGCTTATGATGCTTTCGTGGTGTAGCGGTAACATTGGGTCTTCCCACCTCAGGAGTAACGTGATTCCGCGTAACTCCGGATTCATGTTGCACTTGGTTGGGCTAGCTCCGGGTTCGACTCCCGGCGGACGCATGCAATCTTGTGGTAGTCCTTTTTTCACTGTTTCGGCGTGGTTTCTTTTTCGGTTTTGCCAAACACGGTATTCAGGAATCAATGACTTCAGTTCCTTGCTTGTGGTTTCCATACTGCTGATATTAGGGAAGTAAACATGGTTTCGAGGCAACAATTGAGGCAATTCAGAACATGATTCACAAGGTGATCACAGCACTCACTCCGAGAAAATCAGTATTTTCAATGGCAGGAATTTGTCTCAGAGAACTAGGTGCGGGTTCGAACACGGAATGCAAAATTGTTCAGGCGAGTGATTCCAACGGGTTTTGGGTTGATATGTCATGTAGTTTGACATGACTTGAGCACACCGGGAGTTGCCAACCGATGTTCACATAGAGGTAACTGAGGATTTCTTCGTGTTTCCCTCAGGTTCCCTGTTGAAATTGGTATTATTCATTTATCCCTCCACTTGAGACATCCAAATGATCAAAAGAAAGGTAGGGAAACATACTGAACAATAATTTTTCACTCCCTCAAATGGCCGAAATTTGAGAGGTTCAAACATGTTCAAATGCTGAACCGAACCGAACCTGAACATGGAGTTCAGGTTCAGGTTCAGTGATTTGCTGAACGCGACCCCACGTTCGGGTTCAGCATTCGGGAAACATGCCCCGAACCTGAACCAAACCGAACTTTCCCATGACTTGATCTTTCTCGCCGAATACGAAAGGGTTTCAACAAAACGATTAATGATGTATCCCTGAATTATCCTTCCACCAACAGTTCAATTGCCTGCCAAAACTTAAAGATATCTTACAGCTATTTTGGAAAGTCAATTTTCCATGCTCATCAAAAAGGGAATCACCTGAGAACTCTAGTGTAAGGTATCATATACGTATTTTCTTTACTCTTTTAGCTACAAGTCACATGTACTCAGGTCACATGATGATTATCATCTTTACCTCTACCAAATCACCCATTTAGCCTCCTCAGCTTTCGTTGAGTAACTCCGAAGCTCTGTGAGAGGCACGGGTGCTGGATAGTCGTATCTTTGCCTTGCCTAGGCTCTAATTGAGGCTCTAGGCGCGAGGCATTATTTCTCTGATTCATACGGTTATTTCCACTGATCTTTACAGATCACCCTCTCAGTCCACTCCAGTCTTTCTGAGAATTCGGGAGACTGAGGAGAACTACGTCTGAGAGCACGAGAATTCGTCTTTCTGTGGTTCTCTGCGAGTTAGACCGTTCAAGAAAGGGTCTTACCACATTATAAGGCGTTTCCACTCCCGCCAGGGATTCCGTTCGACAGTAACCCTTGTAAGCGCTCCTGGAGCCTTACATCTAGGTTTGTGAATGTTAGGACGCGCTCTTTCCGTAATACGGTCCTATGACCGTGTTGTGGTTTTAATTACATTATGGTCATTTTACTTACTAAGCGGCCGTCACAGAGTATAAGTAGTTTGACGTGTTTACTATTCTTTACTTATATCTCTTACTCTTACCACGATCTTCTCAAGAATCTACCACTTGCAACGGTTCTCTTGCTGAAGGCCTCAAGAGTCAGAGACAACTCTAACACTTTTTTGAACCCTGCTACGCAGAAGATTCAAGAGAGTACCCCTCGCACGAGCGAGAATCCTTCGTCTGCCGCACGAAACGCGCGGACGAGCTCTAGTACGTTTTCATTACTCTTTTTCCTCTCTTTTCCCTTCCCTCTTTGTCGTGATACATCATGATAAAGAAATCACGGGCCAAGCGCAAGGGGAACCCCTCTGGGGCTCGTGTGGTGGATCCACCTCACGTACCCGAGGCCCCTCCGGTTACTGTACCTAGTCCCGAGATCGTGATTGATCGCGATGACGGAGATCCTCCATCATCGGGACATCCGTCCGGAACGTCCGCCCGGAACGAGATTCCGTTGGCAGACGTGAGAGATGGATTGGGCTCGTCGACGTGGCGGCCTGAGCATCTCTCTCCTCTTACCTCTATGCCGTCGCCACCACCTTCTGGATGTCTTCGGCCAGCGAGCTGGACGTTGCCTACAACGTCCACCCCGCCTCGTAATAACTCTAATATATCTGTTGCTTCTCATATGGCTCCCACGTCGCCGAATGTCTCGCTTCAGTCCCCTGTGAGATTATCTGAGTCTCCTCGTCATCGCGACGACCAGTCTCGACACTCTGGCAGCAAAAATTCATCGAAGCCTCGTCATCGAACTACTGTGGAAGAAGTTGATGACGTTGACGACCCACCGCATGTTATCTCAGCCCGCGCAGCTAAGAAACAGCGAGTACCTGCAACGCATAGTGTGAGTAAGAACAATCATTCTTCGTCGCGCCAGTCTCGTAGTCCAGAGGTGGATGCAAATAAGACTCGCACACATCCTTCTGTGTCTCATGCATCGCCGATTGCTCCCGTGTCTCCATATCCCGCCGCGTCTATCCTGAAAGAATATGACGGTCCAGGGATGGATGACGTTGATCGTGCGATACGCCGCAACGACAAACATCGTGCGGCGCCGGTGTCCAAAAGCCCTGTTAATATTCCGCTGCCGCCATCGGACCCAAATATGTCTGATGGTGCGAGCGAGACTGTTTCATTAACTCATTCAGCTATTCGTCGTATGCTCGACGAAGCGGTCGCTCGCGATCGCGCGCGTCGTGATGATACATCAGAAGCGCGTCGTCGTCGTGAAAAGTTTGTTCAAGATGGACGCCGTATGCAGGAGATGCGCGTCAACGAAGACGCCGAATTTGCACAAAACCTCGACACTCAATTTGCTGTTGAGGCGGCGGATTTGGAATATGCAAAGCGTATTCACGCTCAGGAGAATGAAGAGCAGTCATTCTCGCTGCTCGAGGAGCAACGAGATGCTGCTGAAGCCGAAGAGAAGGCGCGTGTTGCTGAGGAAACAGCGCGCTCCGCTCGAGAAGCCGCTCGTGCCCATCGCTTGTCTGTGGAGAAGCGTCGGGCTGAAATGCAGGCTAAATTTATAGCTCACCAACAGACATTGAGTGCGGCCGCTGAGGCAGCACGCCAGTCCAATGCTAGCGATAAAGGAGACGCAGTCGAGCAGTCCAAACTGACTGTCCCTCCACCGGTGAAGACGTGGAAGGATCGAGTGATCCTTCAACGCTACCGTGAATCTGAATTGAAATCCACAGGCTATTCCGGAGTTGCCGACCAACGAGTGCGATGGAATGCAGAAGGTGAGCCGTTTGAGCTCGGTCCCGAGGTCAAAGAAAACTCGTCGAATATTGAGGTCAAGCCACCCAATGTTCGCGAGGGGTACAATGTTCCGGCAGGTGGTTCGAAGTATAAAGATTCAAAATCTAAAGCTCGAACGCCTGCTGAATCCAATGTTAAGAAAGTTGAGGAACCGATTCGTCCATCGGTTCTCTCTTCTTCTCCTGTTAAACCTGATCGTTCTGCAAAGATCGAGGACGTCAGTAATTTTTATCTGAAACCTGGAACGAAACCTCCAGCCGAACCTTCGGATGGGGGAGGGTCATCGTCTTCCAGTTCATCTGGATCTGACTCGTCGTCGGCGTCAGATAGTGACTCCGAGGCTAGTACCTACCGGCGTGAATCGAATTATACACGTTCGGAGCCTACTGATAGCGCATTTGGTGATTCAGATGCTGAATCTGATTCATCGTCCCGAAAGCGTCGTCGCAAACGTCGGCGCGGTTATGATAGCTCGAGCTCAAGCTCGAGTAGTGATGATGAATCTCCCAAGAAGGGAGACAAGTCAAAGGACGGATCCGATCGAAAGAAAGGACCATCCAAGACTCCGCGAAAGCGCCCCGATGAGTCGGAGCGTAAACGCAAACGACGATTAAAGCGCAACTCACGGCGCAATCATCATTCCCATGGTCAGCGCGATAAAAAGCATCGCGTTGAACGGGGTGAATTAACGATGGCAGCGAAGCACTTGAAACGCTGGCGCAACAGTCTCCACCATCATTACAAGAAATTCTTGAAGGATACATTGGGCAAGAAATCACCTATGTCCTCTGTCTTTGACGAGAATCGGAATCTGAAGTTTCCAGTTCCGACGTCGTACAATGGATCTACCGACATCAATAAATTTGACGAGCACGTCATGGGTATTGGTCGGTGGATGGAGCTAATGGGTCTCGGTGGTCGTAAAAATGATCACAAGAGAATTTTGGCGCACGGATTTTATCTATCCGGTGCTGCTAAAGATTGGTATGAAACTCAAGTAGTGGGTTTGTATCGTGTGAAGAAAAAATGGACCTATGAACAAGTCATTCTAGGTCTATTCGATCGTTTTATTAACACGGCCAGTGTTCAGAAAGCTACTGACATTTTCTGGACTGCGCGGTATTCATCGGAGATGGGCATCGTTGCATACTACAACGAGCTCATGACGGCCTCTCGTCGCATGATCAAGCGACCTGATTCTTATACATTCAAGTCGCATTTCATGTCTCACATGCCTACGTCAATGTTTAATTCATTGATTGAACACAATATGACAGCGGAATCGAGTAAGATCAAAGAAATCTTGGACGCCGCTGTGAATTACGAATGGCAACAAGCTATGCGCGAGAGAAATGCAGAAAAGCGGCGAAGGCATGCATCACGGCATGATGAGCCTTCAAACAGGCGCGAGGGTGGGTCGAAAGAAACACCTCGTATGGCCGTTGGAAGGCGCGATGTGACCAAACGCTACCGGTTTGTGAAACGAGAGCCGGTCGATAATGAGCCGCGCAAGCGTGACTATCGCCCGGATAGCGCGCGAATTATTCCCAAGGATACTTCACGACCTGGAGGTCGCGATGGGGGAGGGAATGGTAATATTCGTTCCTATCCAAAACCGTCGCAAGGTGCAAAACCACCTGTACCACAAGCTAGTGGGTCGAAAGGACCTAATTGCTGGACTTGTGGTGGACCTCACTACAAGGATCAGTGTCCGCAGAATAAACCACGGTCTCCGATTTTGTATCATGGACGAGAGATTGTCAATGATATGGAAGAGGAGGATAAACCGTCTC